AAAGTTCTTGGGAATTAAAAAACGTCATTAAAAAAAAAAAAATAAAAAAAAAAAATAATTAAAAAAAAAAAAAAAAAAAAAAACCAAAAAAAAAAAAAAATAAAGGTAAAAGAAAAACCTTGTAATTTACCCACCCTTCTTTTGGTAGATAAGTATAGAGGATAAAATATAATATTCCAGCAGATATTATAAAAATAATCGTAAGTATTATTGTTGAAGATAAAATCGAAGTTTTTGGCTTAGAAAATGTCATATGATTGTATTAAAAAAAAAAAAATTACAAGAATGAAAAAAACAAGATACCTAAAATGTAAAATCGAGTTAAAATCTATTAAATTTATGCAGACTAATTGATTAGCCAAAAAGGGTATTGCTCAGTGCGTCTCCGGCTTCACACGTGTTTGCCACGTTTTAGCGTCGTGCTCACGTGTCTAGTTTGAAACAAACTTTTTTCCTTTAATTATAAATTGTTTTTAATTTTTTAATCTCTCTATTATTACATTTAATCAATTGTCTACTCATTTGTAAAAAACATGAACGAAGATATCGACATTGAAACTGAATTAAGCGATGATGAGTTTTACGTTGAAAAGATTTTGGATCATACGTGGACTAGAGAAGTAAGTTGCAACGTGATAATTAATAACATACAGAGATTGATTTAACAAGGTTACGCCTTTATTTTAATTTAATAGGGAGATCCTTTATTTTTACTTAAATGGAGAGGTTTTCCTGAAGAAGAGAATAGTTGGGTAGAACAGGACAATATGTAAGTGATATGAATCAATAATAAATTTATTTGTACTGTAATTGAATAAATTATTTATAAGATATTTAATTATATAGATGTGCCGTAAATCTTATTGAAGAATATTGGAAAGATATCGGTGGAAAACCAGATCCTCCAATCAATAAAAACGCCATAAAATGTTCCAAAAGCTCTGATTCTGAACCAGTATATGACAACGAATATACTAAAGAATCAACGAATGAAAATTTGTACGCGAAGCCCATGATAAACAATAAAGATGCATTCCCATTCATCATTCCGATGATAACAGATCCAACCATCTATCAGCCAAACTGGGAAGAATTCGTTGATAATATCTTAGCGGTTGAATATTCATCAAATTTTATTTACATCAGGATTAAATGGTATATTAACTCATCGCCAATTTACTTGGAGTAAACATGTGCTGAATTTTAAAGTTTGTAGGATTACAGGACATAAAACAAAGCATCCATCAGTCGAGGCGAACTACAAATGTCCTATCAAGGTAGTCATTTGATTTGTTTTGTGTGTATCTTATATATGATATTCACTACATACATCATTATTCATTAGATTCTTCAGTTTTATGAATCCCATATAGATTTTATGCGAATAGAATGATTCATTCTGCTATAATAATACTTTTGCTTTTGCGTTACGTCACCTTTATCATAATATTGGTTGTACCTAAATTGATTTTTTAAATTCTTCATATTTAAAATCAATAAAGCTCTCTTTCTTTTAGACATACTTCAAAATTTTATAATAAAATAATAAAAAAAAAAGAATCTCCAAAAGTTATCGAATAACCTATACGTATAAAGAAGCAGTTATCTAACTAGGTTCATTATTATTTTTTTTAAAAAAAAAAGTACAATGAAATTGAAAAAATAGAAATCTTATAAAAGTTGCATAATATAGTAGCCATTAATCAGTTTGAGGAATAAATGTAAATTATATATAATGTTAAAAGTATAATTTTTCAAAAGTATCTTAAATGTCATCAATGATTTAAAAAGTATGATCAGAAGTAATTCAAATTATTTATCGATTTATTAACTTCCTTATATTAATCACTCAAAGATTTTTACAAATAAATTAATCTTATCCTTTTTATTGTCAAATGTTTAACTTGTATTAAATTCAGTATGTTTTATTCCAAAGAAATATTAACGCAAAAAAAAGAAGGATTTGGAATAATTTGGTATGATCAAATTTAACGTTATTTGCATAATTCGCGTAGGAAGCACATTCCTGGACATTTTTGATAATTATAGGTTGGCCGCAACCTTGGGCTCACGATCTAATTTTCGAAAACTTTCGAAAAAGGAAGTAAATTCGGTTGATATTGTCAATGCCTGGTACGAATCATGTTTTGTTTTATAAACTTAACGCAAGCTAATGTATTGCTTGTGGTCGTAATAGTAAATATATTACTACGCCACCCGAACCGCTCGCTCTTCGATTAACTTCCAATCTTATGGTTGGAATCTCACGCGTTTTTAATCAACAATATCATTTTTATTACAGTTAAGTTCTCTTTTCATTTACATTAGTCTGTTATAATTACTTTATTTTTTTTTTTGTTCACATACCTTTTTTTTTTTTAGCCGATGTGAATGGGGTATGGCATAACTTGCAAAAGGCTTTAACTGAAATTCATGGAGAATCGATCGATATGGCAAATCCACAAGCTAGGTGATTACTCAAGTTTTCAGTTTGAAGGGATACTTTGTTCTTTCTTCATTGAATGACGTGTCCATTTTATTTAAAGACGTGAAGCGATTACCTTGAAGGATGATCCTTTTTTCGAGTTTGAGTTAAATTTTCCTTTGCATGACATTACCATGGTAAAACATAAATTTCTTTAAGAAATTTACGTGACACCTTCTTATAAAAACTAACTGAATTCGATTTGAATTGTAAAGCTACATGATATAGAAAATCAAATGGAGCTCGTACAAATCTCATCGCCATCGATTGAAGGTACTCGTCAATGTCCCAGTAAAATATCTCGAAAATCGTAAAGACGTTTAAATTATAAATAATTCTTAATTTCTTTTATATTAAAGCTCTTTCCGCCAATGGGTCGTATAATAAAAGTAATAAAAGTCAACTTTCTTTAATAACTCTACCTGAAATTGATACCGGATTCACTGCTTCTTCTGGTGAACTCGGTGGATTCGGTGTAGATTTGAATGACGATATCCTAATGAAAGATGACTCCGGGTGAATTTTTTTTTATAAAAAAAAAAATAAAAAAAAAGAGTCAAATGTTAAAAGAACCTTTCGGTTCATAAATTTAGTTTTTTTTTTTCCTAATTTATATCCTGATAATATTTTTATTCGCTATTAGCATAAGAATTGAATTTGATGCAGAGGGTGGTTTGCATGAAGTTTTCACGCTTCAACAGCAAGTTGATGATAATAACCCAACGAATGATATAATCAGAAGAGTAAATGGCGACAAACGTCTTGAAGGAAGGAGAGAGAACCAAAGACGTAAAAGAGGCCTTATAAATGAAGAACCTCAAGAAATGGTAATTAAATTTATTTTTGTATATTATTGTAACAGAATATTCAAGAATCATATATGAAAAACTTATATTTAGGAAGTAGACAATGAATTAGGAATTCAACCTATGGACGTCAATGCTTTCGAGGCACTAGATATGGAACTTAATGAAGGAAATCAACAACAAATACCCATTGAAGAACAAGATAATGTAAATAAAGAAAATGAACCTGACGAACATCCTTCACCCGAACAAAGACGTAAAAGGAGACGTAGAGTTCGTGTTATGTTCGATGAAGAAACTGAGTTAACTAATGAGCAAATACTTGAGATGCGTCAAGACGTTATAGACGATCTGGATGAGGCCGAATTTGTTAAAAGTGAAAAGGTATCACATTATTTGATAATGCATTTTTAAAATGGCAGATGTTAACGTTTTTTTTTTTACTATTACAAATGATATTAAGATGAGAATGCAAGAAAGCAAAAAGCAATTGGAAAACATTCTTTATACTCCTGGAAGGCCTTGTAAATGAATAATTACTTTATCATTTTTTTTATTTTTGCTTTTTAAATGGTACGCAATTTATAGAACGTAATTAATCTAAATTTTTATAGTCCTGGCTCCACAACTTGCTTCTTTATGGGAGCAACATTGTGCTCCTATACTTTATGGTACGTAATATGTTCAAGCTAATTTTTGAAATGGGTACTTGATGAAATTACTTTTGACTTTTGATATGCTATATAGATGAAAATGTAAAGAAGAGAAGAGCTCAACCATCTGCTTTAGGTAAGATAAAAATGTTAAGAAAAATTGAAAACAAAATTGTAATGCAACTTTAATCTTAGATTTAAATTTGGGTGAACGCGATGACTTGAATGTTGAAAGAAATGACCTTCATATAGGAGGCTCTAGTATTCCAGTTAATAATATAATTTATTTGAGACACGGTTTATTATTTCTTCATTTTATTCCTAAAATGAAGATCATTCTCCTCAGCGTGGCGTTAGAGATAGTATAAGAAGTGATGAGCCCGAGCGACTTCGTAAAGAAGAAAGCCAACAAAGTTCAATCATGATGACTGGAATGGAAAACTTTGGGCCTGAAATGGGTAAGTAGTGGTACGATTTTATCCCTTTTTTTTTTATAAATAATAATAATTTTTTTTTCACTACTTTTTTTTTGCCTGAAGATAATTTTTTTGATCATTATTCTTCTGCGGGCGGCAGTACGGACGCGAACATGGATTTGTTGGGTCCACTTGGAAGGTAATCAAATACTATGTGATTCTTCGATATGATAGATAACGTAAAAATATTTTGTATCATCTTAGTGACGGTGGACGAAGACTTGATTCAATGGGATTTAATGTGCCAGTCACTGATTTCTTGGACGATAAAATGTTAGAAGACGATAGCTTTGCCTTGCCTAACTATCCAATATTTGGAGGTAAATTTTCAATTAATGTTGTCATTTATAGAATAAATTCAACATAACGACCAATCTACTTTTAGATCTTTCTCTATTTGATAATCCAAGTCACGTAGGACAATCTACGTCCATAAATATAAACAGTGAACAAGAAGCAATGAATTTCTTAGAATCCATTAAAACAATCATGAATGATGCTTGCGTTTCAATTGCCACTTTCCAAGATATCATGGAAACTCAACACGTTAGAAGACCTGATGTTGCGAGGAATTTTTACTACATTTTGGGTATGTAACGATTTTTAATTGGATACTGTATATTGATAATTTCCATTAATTAAAAATTTTTCATTTTTAATAAGCGCTCGCAAACAAGAATTTAATTAAAGTTAACCAATCCAAGACATATGATAATATCGTGATTCAAGTTCGAAACGAATGAATAATTTAAAATATTTATTGAGGACGGATATTATTTATTTAAATCAATTATAAGATTTTCATATATTTTAAGTCATGCGTGACAATATACATATTATGGTCAAGAGTTAAAGTTCGATATTTCGAAAGCAAAATTATAGTTATTTTCTTTTTTTTTTTACCATTAAATGAAAAGTTCTTAATAAAGAAAGATTTTATTAATAAACGTTTAATATTTTCTTTGAAATGAGTTTTATGAACATACAAATGGACTATTTTATATACAATTCACTAAATGATTTTAAAAATACGTCTTTAACGTCTTTGATTCATATATGCGCCACGTCCACGTCCACGTCTAAAAGAGCCACGAATGTTGGTTGTGGTGTTGGCGGCGGTGGTGGAGGTGGAGGAGGAGGAGGTGGTGGTGGTGGTGGTGATGGTTTTTTCAATGTAATTCTTTCTTTTATACTCATTATTCTTATCTCCAGGCATAAAAGATAGAGATGGTACGACACCATATTTCTCTATCTCATCATTACTAATTTGATTATCGGGAGTGGGAATTGTGCTTTCCTTTTTTTTTCTCAAATGAAATAATTCATCATTTGTATAAGGATTTTGATGATATCCACTTTTTTCACTATCTTTTACTGCATTAATTAATCTATCACAAACTTTTGATTCCCAATTGGTTTTTGGTAAAGGAAAATTAACCATATCGAAGAATATATTCCAGGTCTTTGCGGCGTAAATTACTTTGATAAGAGAAAGAAGCGATGTACTCATCTCATCCGAAGGGTATCCGTATTTTCTATCCATTTCTACTTCTTTTCCCCTCATCATTTTCAAAAATGCAACTTGAAACATCACAAGGCGTAATGAGGTTCCACTTAAACTAAACGTTTTTTCTAATCTATATTTGGAAACATAATCACTTTTTTCCAAGAATGCCAATTCGGGAGCACCATTTAAGAACCATACAACGTTACGTGATAACAATTCTTCCAAGAAACAGGCGACAAATCTAGACCAGGGGATATTTTTC